TCCACTCTTTTTCCCTTTCACTCTAAACCTGGAGTGTGGTTTCCTGGATCTGGAGTCTGTGATGCTGGGTGTCTCAGGGTGCTTCCTAAGACTGTTTTGTTTCTCCTGGGCCTTACAGCATTTCCTGCAGCCTCTGTGGATCTTACAGATGCAGTGTCTCTGTCAGAGTTAGACACTACCCATGGCTTTTTATTGTATGCATGGCCTGTTGATAGCAGGTGAGGACCTAACGTTGTATGTGTTGTGTGTATAACATTGTGTGTATTCTTGTGGGGAGGAAAAAAGAAAAAAATCAATGAGCTATATTTCCTTAGTAACCATCTCTGTCAATGTTTCCTGACAGGGTAGGTGCTCACAGAAGTACAGGTGTTTAGATTGTGCTGTTCAGTTTTCTGTATGCTCCTTCCAAACTTTTAAACTGCATCACCTTCAAAGAATAAAGAAAGGGAAGAACATTGCTATCCAAATGACAAGTTTGCTACTTTGTGCGTTCCTGGAGGTGGATTAGGGCTTCTGTCAGTTGAAGTTTTCCTGCTCATGTATTCGGATTTCAGGTGTTGCTTTTTCAGATAGATGAGGTAACTCCTCCCAAAGCTGCAATAGCCTTTGTTAGACCTTCTGTTTGTTGTGGTGGCAGGGAAATCCTCCAAATGTGAGAACTTGTGGCTTATTAAATTCAAAGTGAATCTAAAATGGGTATGAGGGAGATAGGTACTATCTATAGGTAGCATTCTGAGAATACAGACTCTCACTTTACCATTTGTCATACTGATGAATTCTTTTTGTTCTCTCCCTTTACCCTGCCAAAAAAACCCCAACCAGTAATTAGTGAAAAAGGTGATAACTATCAAAGGTATGACTCCTTTTCCTCTCTCTTGAACAGTTGCAGCTTACATATTGTTTCAATGGATTGGTCAATTTATTAAAAATCAAATAAACAATAGAAAAGAAAGATGAGTTCTTTATAGACTTGCTTTGAATCACAAACAGGAGCTAGACTGGCCCACAGATTGTCCTGAGAGGACAGCAAATATGGTATCTCTTTTTCTTCTCTATCGTATGAAGTCCCATAAAGCAGCATGTGCTACTCTAAATGTATTTGCTTCATTCTTCCTATTATAAATTTTTTTTAGTCTGTATTATATGCAGAGTAATTCCAAGACACAACAGAATCAATAAAAGCTCTCTGCATTCCTCTCTATTTTAATGTCATTTGTGAAGTAGTTTAACTATTAACATCTATAAAGCCATCTAACTACATGAAGAATAATCACATGATACATTTTTTTTCCTAAGGAAATATTAACTTTAAGCTGGGATAACCAACTTCCCAGAATTCACATAAAAACATAATGTAGTTAATATTAAATAAAAGGCTTGTGCAAGCTTTTATTTTTACAATATGTGCTGATGTGTCCCTGATTTAATCAGTTTTGTTTATGATTAATGAATGATTCACCTTGAAGATCAAAGTTTGATTCATATCTCATAAAAAATTTTAAGAAATCATCTGTTTAGAAAATAAAAGAAAGCTGCTTTGTGTGTTACCCAGTATTACAAATTTGGCAAAATACACACTGAGCAAATAAGAGAGGGAATTGAAGCTGACAGGACATAAGAAATCTTCAGTTATAACACACGTGTTACCAAACCTCAGATTGTAGAGAAAAACTTCAGGTATAAATTATGTTAACTCAAAGCATGAAAACTTATCTTTTTTTCTCATTCTCTATGAGGTATTATCATAAATGCTAACTTATGCAGCAGAACCAAAAATTTAATTATGTGGAATACTTTTTATTTTCAATGTATTTATAAGGCAAAAAGGAATATATTCATAAAGAAAGGCTGCTGGAAATGTGACTAAGTTGCTTTTGTTAAAGAGGATGCACAATTGTGCAAGTCCAGAGTTTATATTTCACTAGGGGTATAGCCATTTCTGTGACACTTCACCTACATAAAATATTATTAGGTAACATCTGAGGAAAGATCTGAAGTAAACTGTAACAGTTTATACACAGTATCTGTGTATAAATTCAGAGCAAAAAAATTATTTGGTTTTATGATATAAGTGTATCAATCATAACATGTTGGGGGTTTTTCTGATCTACAGTAAGGATTATTTTGAATAGATCCATGTTGGAGTAGGAACGGGTAAATTTGCAGGAAGCACTATTTATAAATAAACCCTGATATAATGGGAATGCTTTCATGTGCCAGTGACCTGAGATCCATAATATTGTATCTTTTAATTTTCAGAGGAGAAACACAGTCTGAAGATTGTCTGGGGTGGATAGATAATAGCCAATTTGATAGCATTCATTGTGTGATATCTAACAACCTTTTCTGACAAAATGGTTCTAGTACAATGATAGACAGATGACTGTTCTGCTGTTGTCAGTGGGTGACAGAAAATTGTTTATGCCCTAGTCCAGTGATAGAATAGAATTATTGTCCAAGTATTAATGCAAATTTCATGGAAAAATTCGACTCTCAACACATATTTATCTCTGGTTCTTCACTGAAGAGTGGGGGAGCAGGTTTTACGTGTTAGTTCTGGCCTGTACAACATTTAACTTTCTTAGAATAATTCTTCAGTGGTAATGATGCATGAGCTACAGGATGAGCAGTTGAAAAACACAGTGCAAAACCAGACTGTGTTAGGTGAGTTGCAATTTGTGCGATAGTTCAACATTTACCTCTCCAGAGAAACATGTTACTGTTTTCCTGGTGAAAGAAATCCTTCTGTCTCTTTTTTTCTTCATTTACTCATAGACAAGTGAACAGTCAGTTACTTCTTTTAGGTAAAGTCTTGCAAGCAGAGGATTATGTCATTCAAGTTGATTTCAGTGGCACTAACATATTACATATTACTAACATAACCTTCTTGATTATTTGATGTGTAACTTGGCATTATATTCTCTCTCAAAGGAGTCTGAGAACTTTTGAAAAAATGTCCATTTTCTGGTTCAGTAAGTTCACTGTTGTTCATGTAAACTCCATCTGCTTTACTTGGATTTTACATTTCATAACTCTTTGTTCAATGTATCATTCGGGCTGGTTCACCTTGGTATTGACATCACAGAGTTCAATGACTTCTGTATGGCTTGTTTCCCCACTTAAAAATAATATAGCTCTGAGAATTTAGAGTGATCTTTGTCCTGTGGTTTGCTTAATATTGTGAGTTTATGTTTTTCTTATTTGTTCAGAACTATTTGTACTTGGATTATTAATCTATAACTAAATGTTACCCTCTGTGTTCATCCTGCTGACGATAACTGGAATCAGACCAAAGCTGTTTTCCTTAAAATTGTGCAAAGCATGTTTATTGGCAGTTTCTTCTTCACTTATGATCTTTTTGGAATCACATCAGAAGGGGGAAATATTAGCTCAGAGCAGTATTAGTACCTATTAGTTCTACCTTTTTACAGCCAGAAGCTTTGGATATTCTGCCTAAACAAAACCTTAATGGGAATGCTGTCTGTCTCTCTCAACAGCAATGATTCAAGCAGAGAATCTGTACTGTCACTTGAACAATTATGTCACTTGAAATGAGCTACGGCCAGTCATTGTCTGAAATCACTGTGTAAATATCATCAAGCATTTGTAAGGAAATATCTTGTATCACAAGGAACTGGTGAGGAAATGAACCCAAAGGCACTGTGCCATCTCCAGGTTGTCTCCACCTTTCCCTCCTCCAGGGTTCCTCAGGGAGGGCACTTCAGCCTGGTCACAAAATCTGGAGCACTTTGCCTTTCCTTGGACTGTCTGTGCCGCTGACTGTAGGGATGGAAGTCCTTCTGCCAGTGAGAGCTTCCAAGCCTCCCTCAGAGTCATTGCTAGAGTCTTGAACTGTGCACAGGCAGGATCACACGTTTGATCCACTCGAGTTGTACAAAAGATTCCAAGCTTAGGAGTTGTTCAAAAGTCTGTACCTAAAAACAAACAAACCAAGCATGATGCCATAAGGAAACTTTTGTTTGGGTTAAGACTTCAGTTTTAGATGCTGTCTGCTGTTCTGAAAGGTTGAACAAATGAAAGTTAAAAAAAAATCTTACTTATCATTGGTAGATTGAGTTCCTTATCAGCCTCGTGGCATGAGGGCTACACAGCTTCTCTGCTGGTACTGTCACTGCAATGTGTGCCATTGTTAAAATAAAGGGGTTATAAGATGGGTATTTACATAGAGGTAGAGATCTATATGATAAAAATATGAGATCCTTAATGAGCATGTAACAGTTTGATGTTAGTCATATAGTGTGTTTTCCTTTTCTTTTTCACTACGATAGCGTGTGACAGATGGTATAAAACAGAGCGCCTCAGCTTCCTAAAAAGATTAATCCAGTTTTGAACATCTAGAAGCACAGAATGCTGAAAAAAATAGAGGCTGTGTGCAGAGTTTTCAAACAAATAGAGGGTGGCACACACTTCTGTGAGTCTGCTTCGTTGGCTCAAAGTGTGTCACGTTATTGGTAAACCTTTCAGCTCAGGCAAAATTTCTCCTGCTATTAGAGTTTTTCTGAGTAATCTGTATTATCTAATCTTTAAAGGCTCACCACTGACTTGAAGGAGAGTGAGGAACTTCTGATGCTGTGGTTCAGATATCCATCTTAGACATTCAATGTAAATAAGCATTAATCTGTGATAGTGTAAGTGTTGGAGGTTCTTTATGGGTGAAAATTTTGCATACTCTTTTTCCTGACTGTTGTCACTGTGAAAGAGTATGGACAAATCTGTTTGGATAAATTTTCCTGTCGTATTTATCTTGAAGTAATGAATCTTAAAAACATGTTCCTATTCACATCCTATCACAAATTCGAGAGAAATTGAAAAAAAAATTACTTGCTCACATTAAAGTTAATGCAGTTGGAGACTTTCATCATAGATTCTAAGTTATCAAGAAAATAGTTTGAAGTGTAAAGAGAGTTTGATGACTTTATCAAAATCTTCCTAATCATAACTGGCATCTTTTAAAGGGTGGATTCCTGCTAAGTGGTCTGCATAGCGCCACTGATGTGCAAAAGAACAAGAAGTAAAAATGCCAGAGTTCCTCCTCCTCTCATTTTTCGTGGTAAGTGGTCACTCTTTCATATTTGCATAATGTATAAGTTTGGTTCTGAAACTCATTGAAGACAGATCAGCATTTTTTAAGAACCCTGTATTTGATGTCTGGCAAAATGTACATTTAAACTAATTTTCACCAGTGTGTACATACTGGGTCAAATCCCTTTGTCTTACAAAATATGATATAAATAGTAATTTTTATTTCAGTAACACAATAAAAAATTACTCCAAAAATGTCGGGGATGGGGTGGGGGAACAACTGTGTGAAAAGAGATTAAGTTTTATGTGCTACTTTAGATGAAGTTTTATTTAATACTTTTTATTGTAAACTTTTCAATGCAAGTCTGCAAATTGCCTCAACCATCAAACAGGGACTTAAACAAAAACTCTCTCATGATTAATAGCTATTTTAGATCAACTTTTGACAGATTTATAAATTAATTACATGCATAAATAAGTGGGAGAGAAGGCACAAAAGCAAGATGGCTATGTTATATTGTGATTATATATTTATGCTGACCTGGACCAAGCAAACTTCCATGTACTTACAATTCTAGTAACTATTTGGTTCTGTTTTTAAAGCAAATGCAGCATAATTGCACTAGAATAAACACAACCGATTTGAGCTGCATAAATGTAATTCAGATCATGGCTCATTATGTGATAATGCAATAAATGGCATGAAGATGTATAAATATGTGTCAAAAATATTACAAAAAACTTATTTTTTGCAAACAGAAATAGGCGCCTTAAATCATGCTGAAAATAGGACTGCACAAACCTTTTTAGTTCATTTAGTCTCCCTGAAAGGGTTAATTTCTAATTGTTTTATTTAGCAGTGCAACAAGCTAATAAAAATGGAAGCTTGTACTGCTTCGTAGCCGAGGCCTTCATAACGTGCTCAGAGCCCTTTAGTTCTGCTCTTGTTTCTGTGTAGGAATCAATACCACAGGCAGCAATTATGTGGTGGTGTTTTTTGGCTAAAATTCCCACACATCTGGGATAAACAGATATTCTATTCGAACTTCCTCTGTTAACTCCACCAGTTTCCATGGAATGACTCTCTATATGCTTGTTAAGTAAATGATTGTTATAAGACTATGGAGACATGGTCGATCAAATTAACCCCTTTTGTCCAGCCTCCAAAATGGTTCCCTTCATTTGCCTAAATTCAGCTGCTTTGGGGAATTTTTTCAAGCTTGAAGGACTCTCTGGATTCATCACATTAGCAAACTGTAACCTGAGAAGAGGGTCTTTGGAGCAGCAGGACTTCTTTGGCCCCCAATTGTTTTGCTAATCAAGATTATTGCCACTATTGAGATGTGGAAAGATAGCCTAGCTGACAAAATTTGTCAGCTTCCCATGAAATAGTTCTGTCAGTTTAGTCAGGGTGCCGGCTAATATTAACATATAAATGAAGTCTCTCCCCCTCACCCCTTAATAGATGCAGAGAAAATATAAACACACACACAAAAAACCCCTCTGTGCTTAAATCAAACAAGCTTCTTTTCTCAGCTCTAGCCCATGTCCCTGGAAATCCTGTGAGTAGTGGAGCTAAAGGGAGGGGGGAGGGAAGTAGAATTTGCACAAAACTACTTTTAAGCCATAAAGCAGCAAAGCCCCACTCCCTGCTGATAGCAACAGGAGATTGATTACGCCTGCAAAAGTACAAATGGTTGCCTGAATGCAAGTGGCAGACCTCCAAAGCAGTATGCTCTATGTGCTGGTTTTACATTTTACAGCAGAGGACTTGGATACAAAGTGGAAAAGTGGAACAGGGGGTATGAAAGAGTTATCTTTGCCCGGAGGTCAAACCCATGAGTGCAGTCCCTGCTGGTCTCAGAGCAGGGCCCAGGGGGATGGCGGGGGCAACCCGGGCTCGGCGCTGCCATCGGCCCCACGGGCACCCGCAAACTCAATCCCTCAGCACCTGTTTTCTGCCTTTCACTCTGTTTTCTCATAATCAGAATACATATCGTATTTTTCAGCTGACCTACAAGGTGATATAACCTAATGCTCTTTCACCCACTTGCACAAATTTTGCGTTACTTTGTCAAAAGCAAATGCCTTGCATCATTCTGGCGGCAACTCTTTCAAATCCCAGCTGTACCAGATCATAAAGAAGTAATTCAAACTTGCACTCATTTTAACTGTAAGTGGATCTACTGAAAGTTCTCTTCATCCTTTATCCTGATTTAAATATAAATAAATAAATATCTCGTGATATTTGTAATCTGCAAGTCGGCAATATTGGCCTTTTGGTACTAAATTAGCCCTTGAATGGCAACTGTGCAGCAGCTTTGTGTAGTTAGTGTACGCATCGGAGATGACTCTTCTAACAAGTTCAATAGGCTTTGCAAAGCATAGCTTTAAATAGAAGAAATCCTTCAATCATGATTTGTTCTTGCTTTATGAGAAACAATCAGATTATTCCTTTGTGCCGAACTGTGACAATACTCTAAAGCATGAATGAAAACTAGAATATATGTTCCCTCAGTGGATTACATCAGCCTTCTTGATCATTAGGCTAACATGAAAAATAGATTTAATGTCTAAAATATCTGTCACTGAAGAGAATATTAAGAAAATTACTTGGGAGCAGTTCGTGGGAACTTCAGAGGTAATGAGTTAATGACAAAGCACAGTATTTGTTAAGAAGTTCAAAGCAGATCATTCCTAATAGTTCTAGGTGAGTAGCTAAGCTTCTTATTTCATAATTTCTGAAGTTGTCATACAGACTTGATTTCAACTTCTCCAGAAATGTTGTGTAAAATATTGCATTGTTTGCCCAGAATGTGGAGCTAAAGAAGCATAATCCAACAGTGTCATTGGTACCTATTGCCCCGAGTTTAAAGGGGCTTGCAGTGTTCATGCTCCTACCTTTGATCTGAACTTTCTCAACTGAGAAAAATAACTGGGAGTCACAATATTAAGCATTGTTTGCAATAGGACAGAGTTAATAAAAATTCAGATCTCAGAATCAATGTGAATTTCCTGGATTTCGTTTGTAGCTCAGTGGAGGTTGATTCCATTGAATCCTGCTCCCTCTTGTACTCTGGCCCCTCTCCTGAAGGGTATGAGATGGGAGAAGGCTGAGGAATATCTTACTTATTACCTAACATGCAGTGTGTTGATGTTTTTGTACAAATGAATGAGTCGTCTTTGCCCCAGGGAGTTCACAATCTGTTATAGCTTTTGGTTATCTGTTACAGTATCAGTTCATCAAAACATATCTATTCTAAACTTTAGGTTCATTCTGCTTTAGACCCTCTCACAATCTGGCTTCTGCTACAAGCATCAAGTCTAAAACTTTATATCCACCTTTAAATAATTAAAAGAGTAATATTGACCGAATTAGTCTTCTACTAAACAACTGTCTTTCAGGCCAGTGCCATCCAAAACTCATGTAAAGTTTCCAGGAGTCAGCAAGACAGACTTGACCATGTGCATTGAAACCTCAGTTTACTCTGCGTGGCTTTTGCTCACGTTTGTTGCTGGTCACACTCCTTCTTTTTGCACCTGCAGGACTTGTCAGGTATATAGTACCACTAAGAAAAAGAAGTCCTGCCCAAAGGCAAGGGTGTGGAGCTTTCCTCCACTGTGGCAACTGCCCAGCTTGCAGACTTGCCTTGGAAGGGGAGCGGAGTGGTGCTTATAATGGAGCCCTTCATACCTCGGAGAGAACAGCTGCCTCACACTCCAGTGCACACAAACAAAACACCTGCTCAAACCAGAAAAAGCAGTAAGCAATGAGACTGGCTATGTGATGGATGTTGTTTAGACTTTCTCTTTTATCTTTTTTCAAATGTTATAACATGTTTTTTCAGCATTTTCAATGTTTTGAAAAATTGTGTGGTTTTGTTTGTAGAAACATTTCTTTCTTCTCTTTTTGAGGAATATTAAAAAACACTGCCAATATTTTGCTTTTCGTCATTAGTAAAGATAAACCTCCATAAGGTTGGTTTGGGTAAGCATCCTGCAGGTTTGGCTACCCAGCTTTTAGCCTTACTTCAAACTGTATCACATTAACTTGAATACAAGCAGCCCTTCATTCTTTCCTACCCTTTTACAAGATATTGGACAGATACTGAGTTTTGCCTAATGTGGTGTTTTTCTCTTGTATGTTGTAGATATGAGGGTGTATTTCTTGCACACAGTAATATAGACTTTCATCTATCCTATTGAAGGGGCTTTTAGTGAAACTTCGAGGGTGCATCAAGGATCTTTGTAAGCAATGAGACAGAAATGACTCTTCAGGAATGGTGGAGAGATAAGTAACTCCACTGAAAATTATTATATGACACTGATTAAATGATGATGAGCTTATATCATAGTATCACCAATAACATACTGTAACTCCTCACTTGTGTGTTCTGTTTCACACAGATTCATCCTTGTTTCTGACAGATTTCCAGCATTTTCAGCTGAAATGCCCATCAGGGCAGGGAAACTCTCCATAATGGCTGTTGTCATATGGCAGCTGTTATCATTTGGACTTTGTTATACAAATTTATCATCTCCACCATTCATAATAAGCCTGACTGATGCCATAAAACCCTATACTGCCACCAACAATAATTGTCATTCTATTTGGAAGTCACAGAAGAGAGATTAAGGACTTAATGTTTAAATTTTAAATGAAATATTCTCTCACCATTATGGGTGGTCTCCTTCCCAAACCTTGGTAGGACAGTATAGTAACTCTACCCAGTGCTATTGCCTGAACTAAGCATTTAAAAAAAAGAAAAATTGTCTTCAGCGCTGTCAACCTTTAAATGTTCTAAGCTGAATATGCACATAGAGTGTATGCATCAATCAAAATAAGTTTCGACTTCCCTTTTTTATTTTTAGCCTTGTCCTGAATTTTATTGGACTGACTAACTCTAAATAATAAGCATAACTATTTTATTTAACCAAGGGAAACGAATGGGAACAAGTTCCAACTGACAATGGCTCTCTGCTGGAACCCAGAGAAGCAAATGCAAGCAATGCAGTAAGGAAGATCAAACTTGTTACACTGCTGATATTCTAAGAGTTTGAACTCAGACTCCCTGCTGACCTCAATTTTACAATGATAATCATTTCCTAAAATGTCTTCATTTTGTAAATGAAGCTGTACCTCCCTCTGAAGCAGGGGTTTGCAAAGATTAAATCATTTACATTTCAAAGTGTTCATTTTTTTGCCAGTGTGAGAAATACTCAAGCAGGAAAATGAGTGCTCCTTTTAATTTTTGAAAGCTGGGAGAGCATTCATAGTGAAAATAATCACAGCCTATTACAGCAGCCTTGCTTGCCCATTCCCACTTCAAAAGGATGAGCCTATCTTTTCCCCGCCCAGCAGTGAATGACCACTTAAATGAGTGATGGCTTATTAATACTATGACTCAGCCTCTTCTCGATAAGGAGAACAATAAGGGGTCAAAGCTTGAGCATCCCTTACAGGAATTAATGAGAACATGTTGCTGGTAATTTGGTCTTTTGGAGATTACATTTAAATTAAAAGGTTCTTGTGTCAGGCTTAATGGTGAGACCAATGTTCTCACTATTTGAAATCCAGAGGCTGCATTTTTGTCCTTTCCACCTGTATAATTTCATTGACTTTATTAAGGTTGCCTTGGGGGTTGGACACCATTTAAAGAAAAAAAAAAATCAGAGGAACTGACAAAAGGAAGTTCTCAAAAAGTAACCCTAAAAAATTGCTCATATTTATTTGGGCACAGTGTTGTTTTCAGAGCCAGGACATATTATTACAAAAACAATGAAATGCACATATTTAAGATATGTTGCATTAACATTTCTTCATAAGACCTGGAACTGATTCATTTCCAAAGAATGAAGCTATGTGAAAAACAATTTACCAGGCAGAGGTGTTTGTGTAATTGGGGGCGGGGGGGTGCTTTTCTTCGGTTCTTCATCCTTCTTTCCATGAAAGACTTAGCACCTGGGATGTCTGGTTTTATCCTTAACTTTTTTTTTTTTACATTTTATTATTGATGTTGAAATTGTTTATGCTTTGAAACAAGAAACACAATGGTGGGATCAAAGTTGTTTAAAGGAGTTAACATTACTTATATTGTTGTGTATGTTATTAACTACAGCAGAGAAATTCAACCCACAGCTTTTTTATTATCTTTTTCTTGTAGTTGTGAAAATACTGCATGTAGCATCTCTTCTGACCTGAAACCAATGAAAAGATGTTCTAGGTAGGATTACAAATATAAACCAGTGTTCATTCTGCTAGCTAGTGCATGGTGCATTGCATCTTCAAGGCACTTTTCAAAATATGCATTGACTATTTATAAACATTTCAGTCATAATCCTGAGGGAAAGTATAGATAGTACAATTCAGCTGTTTTCTCATTGTGCAGTGGCAATAAAAAATGTAGAAAAATGTGCTATATTATTATAAAAATAGGTAAAGTATAAACATTTGAATTTTTATGATCTTGATATGTTATTTCCTATGTATCTAGAAGTCATATAATAATTTATTTTTTTTTTATCTTCTGCTAAGATGGTGTTACTAAATTTGTTGGAGAACTCCTACAAATCTTGAAAGATCTAAAACCGATACTGTGCTCTAAGAAAAGCAAATATGATTGTGCTGAGATTAGTTGAAAAACTTACAAAAAATTAATGGAAGAGTATTCACATAGAACACCAAGCCACAGAGAAGATTCTCTATTCCAATGTAAAAAATATTTAGATTTGCTCTGGAAAATGGAAAAACGGGTTCCAGCACAAGCATACAAAATACTGAATAATGTCCTAATGAACCCTCCTTATTAGGCATTAGCTCAGCCTTTGTGTGATTCTTGGGGAAATAAAATGTCGTTTTGACTAATAGTGTCATCAAATTAAGAATTCAGAAGGTGCAGGGAGGCTAAGTATGTATGGTATTATGATGGCAAGAGACATTGAGTTGTTTAAATCCTACACTTGTCTGTAAAGATGCCAAAAACTTATTAGTTGAGAAAGTATTAGTTAAAAAAGCAGTAGTTGAGTGCTTACAAAAACTATGAAACTTGCTTTTCATAGGACCTGTAAACCTTCTAGGTTTTAAGGAGTTAGAAGTCTTCCAACTCCTTTATCATGATCCTTGCTTGGGCCCCAGTGATGGTTCTGGTCCTTTATTTAGTCAGTTAACCACTGATTACTCTGTGCCTACTCATGATGCAATAGGCTTGTACATATTGCTCTTGTCAGGGGCAATGAAAGCTTGTACCATTTGGAAGTATAAAATATGACTACTCCATAATCAGGAGAATATTTCATGACTTGGAGTCTTAAGCAGCCCCTCTTTGCTATGCAATAACTTTTAAAAAGAATGTGAGCCAGAGCAAGGAGGAAGAGTTGTAAAAAGAGGGGACGACTGGGGAGTCCCGTTTAGTTGGTGCCAAGGAGAGGGGCTGGCAGCCCCCAGCACTGGGCACTGGGAAGATGGAGCTGCCTGGAACTGCTGCCAGCCAGAGACTCCCTGGGGGTGGCTGGCTTGATGCAGAGGACTCCTGTTTTGTGACTAGTGACTGACTTATTGTTCCTGAGAAAAGTGGCAACAAGCCAAGTAAAAGCCCTTTTTGTCCTTTACTCCCAACAGGGGACTTGGTAGTGGTTTGTCATGTGCCTGGGCATAATCCAGGCAAAGTCCCCATATGCAATTAAAATAGATTTTGCTACTGTATGTGTTTCTTAGGAAGTGGTACTCCAAGTTACGGGTACTGCTCATTCTTTTATTTAATGCTTTTGTCTGATTTCAATGCTTAATTTTCTTGGGGATTGTTTTTGTCTTTTAATCAATACTCATTTCTCAATATCAGCACTCTTTTTAGATAATTCTGATGGAGTATACATTACATAAAAAGAGATATAATTTATAAATAGTGATGTCTATGAGTAGCCATCTCTCCTTAATGTAAATTCCAATATATGTCATGATCAGAAATCTCCAGCGTATAGGTTTACCATTTAATAAAAGTATTAGCAGCACATACTTAAATCTCACAGATAAATTATATCCCTTTTGAACTGTCATCACAGTAGTTTGTCATTATTGTTCTTTATGCCCTTGTAGCCTTTGTTAGACTTATATTTGTAATTTTAAAAGTTATTATTATCATTTTCTAAGGTACTTGAATGTAGTAGACCTAGTGGTACCAGAAAATCAATCTTAGCTGTTAATCTGTAGCTGATGTAAGGTTTTGTGCTGTTTTCCACAGTTTTAATATTGTGTAAGAAGGCTATAGTGGAATATAGATATCTTAGATGATCATGATAGATATATATGGCAGACAGAGTCTCACAATTATTCATGCTGAGTAGTGGTTCTCCAGTAGATTATTTCTATTAAATCCAGTGGAACATTACAGGAAGGCAGGGGCTGTGCAGTGCAATTTAACAGATAATTTGTTTTAGCTGTCTTTTCTTGCAACAAATCTATGTTTTGTAGTGCAATATTAAGAAACATTTGAGAAAAAAAATGTTTTCTGTCAGAAAATATCCTGTTAAAAACAGAAAGGTTCATACAATGCTTTTAGGTTCCTGGAAAAAATATAATTGCATCCAGATTACAGTGATTGGTCTAAGACAGTTGCCTCTGTAATAGAATACACAATGTTATGTTAAAGCATGTTTGGCTGTTGTAAATATTTCTACAATATTGTAGAAATATTTCTGCAATAATTCTATGTTATCTCTGCATAATTGTAGAAACTCTATATTAAAAAGTTAATAGGAGAAGTTGAGGAAATTGATACAGAACATATCTAGAAGGTGGTTAGACTGTTCACCCAGAATCTGCAAGTGGGGAGGATATTGCCACATCCATGTGACTACTTTTTCATTAAAACCTTAAACCATTCCCTTTTACTCTTGTACAGGTATATGGACAGAACTGGTGGAATGTGAGACTCAGGGGATAAGAAAGATGTGGCACTCGATTCTGCTTGTTAAAGAGTATCCTAATTGTAAGTATCTTCAAGAGTTGTTTATTTCTTATAATTTTAACAGCCCTATCTTGCTGTGTAATACCATTAATATGTACCTAGTGCAAGGTATTGCAAGAAGTATTTCTTTTTCTTAAGGGGGAACCTTATCCTGATTGCTTAACAGAACACTTTCATTAATGAAATGGTGCTGCTTATCACAAAATCAGCTTTGTTCATGTTTGTATTATTGTAGCTTCAAAATGCTTCCTCTTTATCTATGGTACTTTCCTGATGATATTGGAAGTAGCATGGTTCCCAAAAAGATGTTTTAGCATTTCTCTTCTGAGTAACTATGAAACACTGAAGTACTTTCTATTGATTTAGATTTTGTATCTCATAGGTCCTGATCCCTCAACTGAAATATTTAACAGGGGAATGTCTGGGAGTGGTTTATTAATGAAATGTATATAGTCTAGAATGTAGTGCACTGTTGACAGATTCAGTAGGAGTCCCCATCTGACCAGTAAAGACTGGCAGTGTAAAGCACTCTGAGGGCAAGGCCAAGCACAAAGCAGAATAATTTAGGCCCATTTGCCTATGTAGAATTCCTGCATAACTGATTATATTTCCCTTCATGCAAGGAGAAATGCAACATACTCTCAGCTGTCATCTGCTAGGGAACCATCTTCTGGAACACACAGCCAGTTTGATTGTGGGACACTTAGTCCAGGTGGAATTTCTCCAACTTGCTGGAGTTAAATTGTTGCCAGGACTGTGTCCTGCAAATAAATAGAGGAAAGAGATAGTCCTGCTGGAGACCTGATTCTCAAAAAAAAAAAATTTTTTTTAAACAAATGGCATTTCTGAGAAATTAAGTAAAATGTTTCAAGATAAAAGAATATTTGAGAAATTGAGTAAAATGTTTCAAGATAAAAGAATGTTAAATATAGCTAGAAATAAGAGAGCCATATGTTGAAAGCATATCAGCTTTGAAACCACGCACTTAACCCTGGGACTCAACAAGATCTCACATTTTAAATAAAAAATTTAACTTCCTGAAAAGATAAAGTTCATTCATCTTAAGGGTAACCTAGAAAAAAAATAGGGAAACGTAATCTGTGGAGAAACCCTTCACTTAGATAAGCATCTTTGACATTAGGAAAAAAAGAATATAATGTGTAAAACTAAGATGGGTTGTATCCATTCCTAAAGAGCTCTGTTGTTACATTTGTACATCAAAGTAGGATTAGGGTTATTTTCTGAGTGGTTTTTTTGGCTAACAAGTACATTATCTTACAAAACCATTGCCAGAAACATAAAATCTTTGTTCAATGGGAAAGAAATGCACCATTTTAGCACTCCTATTTGAAACATTATACAGAGTGCAGGCTGTTCTAAGTTCAACGCAAGTGTTACATAAATATACCCATTAGAAATTTGGTCCTCTAGAAGGAGTTTATTTGGATGCTTCTAAATAATATTGATAAATGTCAACATTTGAGCATAAGACAGTATGCACAGTTTGTCCAACCATCATCTATGTTCAATTGAATTGATTTTATTTCTTACACAAGCTGAGTTTTCATCCTGGAATAAGTTTTCCAGTAACAAAAGGGCAGATCAGGAAATGTGTAAGATGGATCAGTGCCCAAAAGACTAAGTTTTACATCTATTCTTGGAAAAACATGAGGACATGATGTCTTAAAAAGAAAGGCATAAATTACAGAACATAAATTCATTTGAACTTGCATGTTGAGCTACACTGTCTCTAGGAATCCTCAGCATGTTACTGACTGTGACACGTAGGCTCTGCTTTGGAGGTCGTTACCTTAGACAGGGAGGGCCAGTGAGTGCCATTGGAATAGAGTGGCCAACTTCCCCAGGGATTTTACTGATTTTCATGGAGGACTCCATCTTAATTGGAACTTTCTTTCATTCAAGAGGAATTCAAGTTCTTGCCATTTCAGACACGTTTGAAAACACTTTCCAGGTAAAACTGTTGAGTTTACATTCCTTGTTTCAAAGAACCCACATGTTGTCTGTGCCTGCACAAACTAGTCTGACACCCTTTTAGAAATCAGGTTTACCTTTTCCCTTTTGTACAGAACACTTCATAAGCCCCAGTAAAAGTGCAGCCATGGTGGAGAAACAACACGTGGTGCCAGTGGTAACAGCCTCTGAGAAACAAGGAAAATGTAAGGAATTAAGAGTACAACAATCTCTGATAAAACCTGCCCAGTTATTTAGTATCATAAATGCATTTTGGAACAGTGTCATGTTCATTATATACATTAAAAGAAGCAAACACATATTTGATTGTCTCATTAAGAGCAAAAGTTATATTTTTCAATAATGTCCATGGCACTGGATCCAAACTGTTGGAGAATTGCTTGAATAAATGCACTGTGTTTTCATGATGTATGCTTTCTCTAGAAGCTACCCTACCTTCTGATGATTGAGTCTAACCCTCTTTAACTACTTTGACAAGATTATTGCCTGAAGTAACATTTTTAATTAGCATTCTTGTTTGTTTACGTCTAGAGATTGAGGGGGAAAATAACTAAAAGCTTTGGAACAGCTCTTGAGTCTGCACTTGCTCTAAGCTGGAAGAAAATAATTTTTAGTATATGTTTAAAATTATGTAACACATTTCAGATGTTGGTTCCGATTACTGTTAAAATGACATTGAAATCTGGGAGTGTTTCTCGCTGGTTTTGTCCTTTTAAAAATTTCCACTGTGCTTTTTTTCATCTTTAATTAAATTTCAATTCATTTTATAATAGCAATTAAAGTATTTACGGCAAGAAATTCTATCCATTTGCAAAACTGCAATAAATTGTAACATTTTCACAAACAAACAAACTTTGTATAAGGTTTGCAAAGTCTTTTTCCTGTATTTGTAAGGCATTGAAGGGTAGATCATCAGCTGGTATAAGTCACTGTCATTCACTGGAGTCAGAAGAGCAATTTTGATTTACAGCAGTAGAATTTGGCCAATAATCCAATTAATATAATCAAAACCATGTACAGACACCAGAATAAACAATACCAAACAGTAAGGCAAGTAACCTATCTTACAATGAAAATAAAATGAATGTCCCAGGCTTCTTAAATCACTGTTTCATTACATAGCTTTGCTTTCTATCATCTTTGATCTCCTTCATTTCATTAGAGCAAACTTCTCGTTGGAGGCATGAATGTCTTCCTATGAAATGGATCTCACTTTCAACACTGATATCTACTGACTTTTTCCAGTTTCAGCTTTAGTCTTTTTATACAGTACTTAAAAAAAGAAAAAAAAAAAGGCAAAAAACAAAACAAATTATTACATCATAAGTAGAGGAACATATGGCACATCCAAAAGTGAGTACACAATAAATATGTTTCTAATAAATACTTTGGTGCTGAGTAAATTACAGAAGAGAGCAGACAATAAACCACCATTCTGCTATTTATGCTTTTTCTTAGCATGGTAGCAGTTATTAAATTAGTTTAATCGTAGCCAAGCAGTTGAGGTGCAGTAGCACTGCTTATTACACCAGCCATTATCATCTCACTGTTACCTTGGGCTTTCCTCATCTGTTTTGTATTCACTGTATTGCTCAGATGCATAGCTTGCAAGCTTTCTTATGTTATATGAAAAATGGGTATATTTGCATGTCACAACTGGGCCTTGATATATGATTATGGCCTTCAAGGTTTTTTCAAGAATATATACTGATTATAATAATTTCAGGGCAATGGAAAAAACTCATTTAGCCTCAGGATAGAACACTGTGTAAAAATTTTACCCTGTTCAGCTTGTATTGATTCACAGCTGCACAGAGAAACAGAAGAGAAAGAAAGCATGCCCACTACATACCAATTTTAGCAATGGTTGTACCCATAGTAAATTCTACAAAGTTAGGGCATTTTTTTCATTAAGTTATACCAGTTTAATTGTGGGTTTTGTGAATTCTGAGTATTGGGATGAATCAGGACATTTTCAGTGGGCTCCCTCACCTGTAATAAAAGTAATGGAAGACCTGCATTTTGAAAAACTCTGCATTTGGGAGCAGATTCTTATATCTGGAGGCTGGACAAGTGAGGCTTCTGCAAATACACTGTCCCATTACAGCTTTCTAATTAAAGATCAGTTGCAGGAAACAGTAAATTTAAAATAGTGGCGACAATATTAAAAAATCCCGGGGAAAAAGGAGACCATTGAAGATAAGGAGGCAAATATCCTATTAGAAGAAATAGAACTAAATGCTCTATGGTGACTCTAAAGCATTGTGCAAGTATTCACAGTGGGCTATAGATGAGAATATGAAAAAGATGAGTGTTCTAACATCAAGGGGTATGAATGACAAACAGATGCTAAACAGACAAATGAGCTATGGCTGAAGGAGGCCAGTGCTGTTGTATGCTGAGGGAAGAGAGAGGAGAGGAAGAGGTGGATAAAAAAAAATATAGCCCCAGAGAAAGCTGAAAACCATGCTGAGAAGTAGTCTGGAGAAGATCACAGGAAACAGCTTATGGAATTAAAAACATTTGGGAAATTACAGCACTTAGGAGGAATTAAATATAAGAAAGTAATGGTCATCTATGAAAATAGAAACTTCAAAAAGGAAGGGACTGCAGCACAGAACCTGGAGGAGAAGAGCTAGACAATGAGGAGATATGATCTCAGCAGGAATAAAGAGACATGCTAAGGACCCCGTGCAACGTATCAGTCTCTAGGAAGACCTTTCATGAACAGTTAACAATAGATTTTGGCAAGAGAGAGCAAGGAAATGTCTGAGAGACAGGCATATCTGACTGAAGTGATGGTCTTACATCAGTCCCATCATGACTGGGAAGAATGTGTATCAGATATAAATAGCATCTTAATTTATTTCAAGTGGTTATAACTTGCTTTTCACTGATACTCCTTATTGTTAATTTGTTAAAGATGCTGGAATATATAGATAAATATAAGCATAATTTACAAAGTAATGTAAATTTATGTTGAAAGAGAAGCGCTAAAATTGTGCAAATGTATTTTTTATATTCCTGATGAATTAACCATATTGAAATTATTATTTTCAGACTCAATTCTCCCATTAAGCCAGTGGAAATATTTGTCCTGTATTCAGATTTAAGAAATGGACCCAAACATAGATAAGAAAATGAGTTCATAATGAGAACAGATGCTACAGAGACAAAAGATATCTTTAAAAATCGTATATGGCTTAATCCCATGGCCATTTGCTGTGTGCATTTACAGTCTAGCTTTTAAAAGTATTTAACAGTTGTTCCTCTCAGCAGTGCAACATGTGTCTGATTTAGGAGCTGCATAGTCAGTGCTCACCTCCCTGCCTCTGTCAGCCAGGTAACTTTTCTGTGTGTTTGCCAGACCATTTCTGTACCAAAGATGGTATGAAGTTTTATGGGAGCCCGAGTTTCATCTCATTTCCTTTGTGCAAATACTTCCGAGGTGCAGACTGCAGGATTTGAGAATCTCATTGAACTGGACAGGAATTAGGCACCTCAGTACCTTTGTAGATCTTGGTCTAGCCTAGAGTTTCACGAACAGGGCCTACATCAGCTATTGCTTAATACAGTGCCTTCTACCACCATCAGTATGGTACCCAGTTTTAAGTGCTTATTTATCTGAACAGAGCTTGCTTGTTAATTTGTTAAAAGTTTTGAGAGATATAATCCCAGAGCTGGTTAGGCTAATGTAGAGTAACTCAGCTACTACTCATTTTTTTTTCTTTCAAAATTATCCAGAAGGTGGGAAAAGTAGTTTAAAATTACTTTAAGAATGGGTTCCAGATCCCTCATATGTTGGGCAAAAGGGATGAAGCCCACTGGGGAAAGGGGAGAGTGACCAGCTGTGTTTGGAGAATGCAAGTTTTTTCAAACTATGGGGATGTGGGGGAAAAAATGCTTTAACTGTGGGTTCTGTGAATGATGATCCAAGTGTGCCTAAGAGCAGAACCTCAGATTCCTAGTGGAAAAAATTCTTGAGTATGTGTGTGTTTGATTTTCTACAAGCGTCTGAGGTGATTGCCAAGAGAGAGCTTTTTACCTATTGGTTTTGTCCATCCTCGCCTGAGATTACGAATTGGTCATACCATAGCAGCTTGTTTTAAAGTTACAAAGTCATCAAATGCTTCTGTAATCATAGTAATAGTCATATCTTTCAGTTGTATTGCAAAATGGCTGTGTAAACTGAGCATCTATGTAAAATACATGAATGAATTCAAGAAATTTAACAACCATCAGAGTAATGAGAAAATTTGGGGAAAAAATAGGAATTCACATGAGCTACTTAATTCTCATAAGCTTCCATTTTAGAAAGTGAAGGTGTTGCAAGTTTGTCAGGGAGACTGTTACAGTGATTGATTTAAAGTTGACCCAGATATACTGCTGCCACAGTGAGAACAGTTTGGAAATGTGCATTAAATGCAGTTGATAGTGGAAATAGTAGGATCAGAATATGAAAGAGAGAAGAAACCAGAGTCAGAGGTTCCTCTAAATTCCATATGGCAGCAACAAGTGTGAGGCAAGCTAAGCTTACCTCACACAAGAGAAGTCTCAAGTGTGGAATACCAAGTTAGACCCCAAAAATAACATTTTTTTTCCTCATTCACTTCAGCAGAAGTTTAGTAACTGTGCAGCTGGAGAGACAAGAGGAAATGAAACAGCAGCATTTCTCAGAAAATTTAAAGATAAGATGCATGCATGCTAATCAGCCAGTGTTTATGTCCTCCTCCTTTGTTTTTCCCTGTCCACTTTCCCGAATTAGAAGGGTACCCTCAGGGTTCTGGCCGAAGGAGTATTCAAAAGAAAAGTACAGCTGCTTTCCTTAGAAGTTCAGCCAACTTTAGTGCAGCTAGAGCCCTTACAGAGTGGCATCCACCTATCCTGAGGAAGCTGAAGGTTGTTTTACTCCCAGAAGAACATGTTCTACCTTATGTTTCTTCGGTATTTTTCTTAATCCATTACTACTTGCAACTTTTTGCTTCTTACAGTGCTTTTGCCTTGATGATTCAGAATCCTGAAATTAAAATAACTTGGGCTGTAGGATTTCCACCAGTTGTGCTGAGATTGTGGCTCTTTTCTCTTTCTTAACTAAAATACTCTACATGTTCCAGTTTCAGGTGACATGGAAGTCGTCTTGACCTAGAGCTCTAGAACTGTGAACAATCTTATCTCTACTTAACCTGCAAAACCATCAGATATTTCTGGGCAGAGAATACAAAGCTACATGGGCCAGCAACATGACAAATGGTATAGTATGTTAATTAAATCAGCACAGTACAATACCATTGTGTTCCTGGGTAGCCTTTTTCATTTTGAGCACCTCAACATGCACTCCAAATTTTTATGCGACCTACAGCTTAATTCTGTATTGATAATATTAGAAGTATTGTTTTTACAAATTTTACAGGATGGTTCTCGTGTTCTATACATTCACAGACTGTTAAGTACAAAAGAGGTAAAGAATGAGGATTTCTAAGCCTTTTGAATTTAACTTGTTTTGATACCGCATCTAGTTATGATATTTTTTTCAGTATGGATTTAATATTTTTTAAATACTCCATGGTAATGGGTTCTATGCAGGTAATACAGTGATGTTTCTAAAAGTAATTGTAATTGTAATCCATTAAAGTCAAGCTAGTGCAATATCTATCTGGTAAAGTCTGGGATTCATGAGACTACAAAATAATTATTAAGATAATAGTGTAAAAAATGAGCAAAACCAAATTGTATAATACTAGCTTTGATAAATTTTGTTCCATAAAATTAGTTTTTGAAGTAGACATTTAGTAGGTTGAGCATATGAGTATCCACCCTACAAAAGTATATTTTCTCAAATTAAAAATATCTTTCTTACAGAATTGGCTACAAGTGCCTTTTCTTATCTCTTATGGTTTCCAGTACTATGTAAATTCATAGCTCAGAGGAATGGTGTAATCCCACATAATGAGTTGCATGATATACTGAGCCAGTTTTAATGTATCTTAGTTTGAGAGAGGATTTTATTACTTTTCCCAAATATTATTTTGTTTTTTCAGCATTATCATAAAACCTCATTCATATAACATTAAATATCTTCTTTAAAGCTTACAAAGGCACCAGAACTGAGGGGATATGGACACAATGCAGTCCTTAACTCACCCCTATTGTGCAGGAACAGAACAGGAGCCTCAAAGCTGCTGGGGGTCTTACATATCTCATATGTGCTGGAACAATGAAACAAATTATGAACAGGGCTTAAGGCTCAACTCTGAATTCTTGCCTTTGTGAGTTTGTGTCTCATGCATGGAGAGCACTGATTTTGCAAGGTACTCTGAGATGTGGCCTGTCTGTCTGTGAATAGAACCAGATGGATTATTTTCTGAAGTTTGACATTCAGAGAGGGATCTCTTCTTCTTTGGTCTGGCACTTTTATTAAGTCTACACAAGTAGGTTTTATGTATTAATTCATTAATTTCTGTAAAAATGTAATCGTACTGATAAAAGCATGAGTGTTAATCTCAGACACTGCAATGCTGTTCTGTTCTGCTTTAAAATATGCTAGGATAAAAAATGCAGTTATGTTTATGTGCAGAATCCAAACCCACCCAGCTTAGACTGTACTTAAGAAATTATTCTAAGGTCAAAGATGCATATTCAGAGTTATTTCACAGAGAACATCTCAAATGGTAGCTAGTTTTACAAAATGTTTCAAATTTATTGAGTTGGTTGGCAGAAGAAATACGTGGCTGATATAATGACACTGTATGAGTGTTCACAGCCCCTGCAGTCCCACCAGTGATACAGAGCCAGGTCACATTAGATGCCATGGAATTGAATCTGCTTTTGGATAACCTCCCTGGGTTTACTCCAAGAGGAAAATACTACTCAGGGTAACAAGCTAAGCCTTTAGCTGTTCAGAAAACAAATGCTGTATTAAGTTTAATTACTTCAGCCACCTACTAATGATCTGAAAAATCTTTTAACAAACCAAGTGTTCTCAGCTAGGCTGTTGCCTTGGCTGCATGATCTTTCTCTCTACAGCTGTGTGGAAGTGCAGCAATCAGAGTTTAGATTATTCTTTTGGCAGGTAATGAAACATAGAAGCAATTTCTCTTTACCCTTTCACCTTAAATTTTGATTTGGTGACATTATCAGATTGATAAAGATGAACTGAATCTGTCTCTGCCAATACAGAGAAGTGAACAGAGGGAGAAGTTGTCATTACAAATAAAAGAGGTCAATAATTATGGACCAAATCCTGATTTGACTGAAGTGACACAAATGGCATGACTTTCAGCAAAATTAATAGTTGCAAATCACTGACAGTAAGCCCTAATAAAATGTTATTTCTATTCATAAGTTTGTTCACAGTTCATATTTGCATTATATAAAGCAAACTTGAAAAATCCTTAGAATATAAATATATTTAATAGAAATATTAAATTTTTTTTCAGACTGCTGTGAGGAAAACATGGTATGTTCATGGTGTATGTAAAAGAACAGCTGTTAGCATTCAATTACATATATATGTCATACAGAAACATGCATCTCAGTACAAGCATCAACAACTGGATGCTGTTCTTATAACAGTAAGTGGAAGCCTTATCCCTGAGTCACAATTCTGAGACTTTGAAATGCAAGTTTCTTAGGAGGTAAAAAATGGTGTGGACACCTTGACCCCTCCTCTTTCTGACGTAGAAAGATTGAACATCGTGGGGTTTTTGATCCTTAAAATGCAGTAAGTGTGAGTCATAAAAGATACCATATAACAGTTCTCCTAAGAAGTAGATGCAGGACACCTGTTTATAGCTTAGGGAGCTCTGCTTCACCACCTCCTTGGCCATCCTTTCGGTGTGATTTATATACATATGTGGAACACACTTAGAAACTTTCAGAATGCAAGGTTTGTACAGTGGGATGTTATTAACTGAACAATTATTTTCAATTTTTAGTATAGCTACTGCATTTTAGAAAAGTAGATGGAAGCTCCTTTAGTTTTGTTTTAATTACAGCTCCATGACAGCATTTTCTCAACTTCTAAATAGGTCTCTGCCTTTTTTTTTTTTTTTCCTTTACAAGTGAAAAAGAATCACTGGCCAGTTCAGAGAAAAAAATTTTCTTTAGTCTCAAGGCTTATGTATTCACTAGGGAGGTTGGACTGTGCTCCAGCAAACAGAATTAATCAGCAAGTCAGTGCTTTCCAGAAGTAATGTGTAACACCTTGTTTTGTTCCTTGGTTCAAAAGGCACTGTCACTGTTGTACACCACTGTGGGGTTTTTTTTTAAAAGCTATAATTCATATGCAAACTAAGGAGGAATTCATGATTTCATAATAAAATGTTGAAACGCTTTGATCATGAGCTGGAAGGAGGTGTGAAACAGTGCTTCAGAAACAGACAGATATTTGTGTAATCAGCCTTTATGTATTGCCAGTTCAGAATAATAACATATAAAAAGCCCCAACTTACCTCATCTGCCTGGTACAGCCAAGGCATAAATAAAAGAGAACAATGGAATTACTATTACTCACTCACTGAGCCCCAGCTACATCACTGTATTCTTTATAATTGCTGGCAAGAAGATTAATGTTTTGTTAAATATCAGAGTAAGGTCACAAGGGGGCTTGCAGGGCTGTCTAAACATCCAGGTTTTAAACTTCCTTCCTTCCTTCCTCCCTTCCTTCCTCCCTTCCTCCCTTTCTTTTTCCCTTTCCTATTTTTTTATTTTAATTTCACAGATATGAACTTTCAGCATTTCCTTTAATTATTGTGACTTCTACATTTTTGCATTTGAAAACTTTTGACAACACAAAAACCAAGTAAGGACAACAATTGTATGACTGATAAAGCTTAATCACCATATTGATAGGAAGATGGTGGGGTTTTGTGTGTTACAAATAGACACAAGTTCCATTTTGCCTGTCATATCTCTATTCCTTCATGTCTGTTAGTTCTGTAGTCAAATTAGGATTTTTTTTCTCATTATGTTAATGTCAGTTATCTTAAGTAATGATCTATTTAGTTTAAAAACAGTCTTTGTAAATGTCTATTAATTTATAGCTTGTGAACAGCAGGACAACAGTAGTTCAGGTGAAAACCTCATAGTTTTGCATATTGAGGAGATTTTTACCTTATAAACCTCCAGAGTATATGTACCACCAGACTGAGGTTACCAGCTCCAATTTCAGACCTTTTGCAGCAAACAAGTACTGACAGTTTTCCTTTGTACAGATAAAACCTCACAGTCATCAGTCTCCCCATCATTATATAGAAATAGTAAAAGAAATATTCCATCATAAATTATTTTTTGGGGAGGGAACTAAAACATCTGATCCATATGGTAGAACAGCTTCCCTTGGAAATACAGGCTAACACAGAAGATTTCTGGTAAATATAAACACAGTCGTTTCTAGTGAAGGAGCAAAGAAATTATAGTCATCTTAATCTCTTGTTTAGACTATTGCCAGTCATTTGCAAAATGCAAATATCTTCCTCATTTGGCTAAGATTATCCTCCCAATTACACAGGAGCAGTCTGGGCAGCAGCAACCACCAGGCTCATAAAAAAATGTGTTTTCTGTCTAGCCCCAGATCCACCTAGTGTATCTTTGGAGAAGTAATGAACCTCTGAAACAGGTTTTGGCCCTGGAAGTGCTCAGTGTGGATCCAACACAAGGGCTGTCCCCTGGGTGCCACAGGACCGTGATGTGCCCCCTCTCCCTCCCATCATGCTCAGTCAGCTCCCTGAGCAATTGCTTCTGAGAATGCTGAGTGGGCATTAATGGGACCAATAAAGCAGAAGAAGGTCTGAATTAAAGAATTCTTATTTCTTGGTGGCATTTGCACGCTAACGCTGAGAGGGCTCCTTAACAGAACTGTGCCATTGAGTCTGTCAGTGCCTGGTAGTGGAGCAGGTCTTTTCTCAAGGAGGGGTAACTTTATGTGGTATTACTGACTTTTATGACCATTATCTTCAGTTACCTAATATTAAAAATTACTTCAAAGATCAATATATGGACAGCAGTGGTGAAAGTCATACATTTAAATTCTACCACTTTGCATAGAAATAGCAGCGCTGCAGAAGAGCAGAATAAGCAGATCCCAACACCTGAACAACTCTGAGTGATTTCAGAAGAAAAGGTTTAACAATCTGAGCTAAAAGGGATAACAGATTCAAGAACCCCTGTTCTTGATCCAGTTTAATCTATGACTCTTGGAAAAAAAGTATTTTTTTCTGTCTTACTCAATTTGCCCGTTAGAAATGAAAAATAATGAAAAATCTGTTCATGTTTTCCTAGAGGTCTGTCACAAAAATACTGTGTCAGTAATTTTACACAAATAAGTGTTAGAGTGCTGTTGTAAGAATCCTATTCTCTATGTTCTTGGATGTGGAACTGAGAAAATTAGCTATAGAAACTACAATTTGAGACTTAGATTGACTAATACTTCAGTTTCATCCTTTCTTCTTATCACCATTAAGTATACCAAGATGTATTACTAAATCATTGAAAAGGTACTGAAGTTTTTCCCTTATGTTACAATCCACTGGAATTCTAAGAACCAGGAAAGGAGCCTAGAAGGAATGGGAGAAAACGAAATTTGTTAAAATTGTAAAAAAAAAATTTAAAAAAGTAAGATCATTTGCGGATCATTTAATTTGTAAGAATTCTTTATGAACCATCACAATATTGTGAATTAATTACAGTTTGTAGTTTGAATCATTTCAGTTTGTAGTTCTTCCCTGGAGACATGAATGCTATTCCTCTTTATATCAGCCAAAGACCTGGTGCAGTTTTCTCTTTTTAGCAACAAGTGTAATGAAAAGTATGGGCCGGAGGACTTGGCAATCTTGCACCTATTTTTGCAATAGAAAAATTACTTAGTATCAATCAGTAAATATTAAATTTAAATCTGTGCCCTCTGATGCTACAGCCTCAGTGGGGCTTGCAAAGAGCCAGAGTGCCCAATCAGAAGGTGCTTTGAGTTTTAACGCTGAGAGTGGTTGCTTGCTTGGTTCTCTTCAGAGAAATCTACAGGTTTGCACACCCTGATGTTGCAATTACACCTTACCCCATCTGTTCTTGATCTGGTTTATCTAGAGAGTGGAACTGAAGCCCAGGCCTTCAGAGGGAAAATAAATGAAGTAGGAAAACAGTTTTAAGGAGCAGGTCCAGTTCTTTAGTTCTTTCTTAGTGCTGGAAATTGAGACTTTGACAAGTTTTTCAGTCTACTTTCAAAATATTCAACCCAGTAACACAAATCTTCTCAAACATGGGGTTTCTTACAGCTTCCTCCCTCAGAGATACCAGTGAGGTTCACTCACCAACTTTCATCAGTCTGGGTCACACAAGTCTTAAAAGTACCCTTTATTACTTGCATATGCTTGATGGCAAAGCTCATCTGTCAAAAGTCCTTTACCTTTCCTCACATCACATTTCCTTCCTTGTGCATGTTGCTTTGGTGATGTTTCTGAGAGAATCAGGTCACTGAAACTGTTAATGAGATTTAACTGAAGAGGCAGAACCTAGGTTTAGCCAAAATTCAGGGTGGTTTTAGACTAAGCCAAAGCTGTGAACAATGAGTTGAGACCTACGATTCAGAGTTATTGCAGTTCTTTTAATCCTGGCTCTTCTCCAGCTCACTCCTTAACCCAAACACTAGAAAATATGCTTCTTAGCCATCCTCAGTGGCTCTTTAATGTACTGTGGATAAATTTCTTCTGCAGTTTCTCTGGAGTGGCAGGAGACGAGCCACTCTGCCACTGTTACACCACTGCCCTGAAGGGCAGCTTCAGTCTTTCATATGTCATATCAGAATCAAATACTGAGAAACCCTGAGGACAAAGTTTTAGCTTGAGATTTTTTATACAGTCAAGATCAGAAAGGAAATTAGTGACCATGTCAAGGATGAGAGAGATTTTTCCAGACTCTTGTTTCTCAGCTCTAAATATGATGCGTACAAACAAAACCCATGTTTTTGTTGTACACATAAAAAATAAAATTATAAAAAAGTTGGTTCAAAGTCATGGTCAGCACATGGTCAGTGAATGAAAGTATTAATCAGTGAAATTAAATAAAACATAGTAGAACATCTTTAATATAGACAATCCTTTATAATTTATAGACACAGTAGGCACAGCATTTATAATAAATGTAAATATGTAGAAGTATGTATGGTGTGAATAGGAGAAAAATAGGTGGAAGAAACAACCCTAGAAGTTATTTATTAAAGACATATGATACATTAAAACTTAAAAGGTTAAAAGAACTGTTCATTCTAAGGACCTATAAAAGGTATTACCATGTACAAAAACCAAGAATATGAAATTAATTACTCTTACTTTAAAGGAGAATTTTCCAAAGGCTGGAATGCTTGTGATTGATGTTGGAGAAGCACAGTTCTACTTATTTTTTGATCCATTCAGCTGTACTTAGTGTACTGGTTTGTAACCTTGTGGATTCAGACAGATGTGATGTCACCTCTCACTGCTCTCCTCCAGCCTGTCTCTGCTGCAGTGAAGTTAAACCACTGGAAAAGAGCACTCAGGAGCACAGAAGAGTGCCTTAATTGGAAAGAGGTACATTTTTCAGTTGAACATTCCTGCCGTTTGGAACAGAAAACAAAAGACAGCTTGCAAAGACCTATTAGTAAGCTCCTTGGGGATGTTTTCTTCTTATATATTTTGTGTGATTTTACTGATTTATAGGTAGCTGATTTGCCTTGAGAGACACCTGTGTAACACTCGGATTCACCTCTAGGGCCAGGTTTGGTAAACACCTTGCATCATTGTTCCTGATGAAGTACATGACATACCGAAGATACAGATTTCAAAGCAGCTGCATTACTTAAGACTCTGTGTATCAAAGCTAATCTTATCAGTAAAAAAAAACAACATATGAGATTTGTCAGCATCGGGAAAGACGTTAGGTGGCTACTTTGCAGAATTTGGGCACACATAGGCCTTTGAAATTCTGCAGTGCTCACTGGAAGATATGACTAGTTTTAGCACATGGGAAGATGCCACTGGCAAAACCTATAGTGATGTAAATCACTCATTTAGATGACAAGTATGTTCTCTTAATTATAAACAAATTTTCTATAAAATCTTTTATTTCTTTTTAAACTTCAGATTGAAAGAGAAATTCTGAAATGGAAAAGAGGTATGTAGATCCCTTCCACAAAGATGACTGTGACCTGGGTTTTGTTAAGTCACAGCTGCCCTTAGAATCTGACTCTCTGAATAGTTTAGTAGGAATAAGCTTTAATTTTAGTTGCAAGTTAGACAGCTTTTATATCTCTGAGCAGCATTCAGAGGGACACTGTAACAGGCTCTAAAATACCATGGACCTCCAACAGCCTGGTTTCCAATGGTCATCACATTACTTCTTTCATAAGGTCAAACTTTACAACCCAGCCACTACCTCTAGAGTTATTATATCCATTTCATCTTTCCTGTACATGAATATGAGACCTACTTTTGCAGAATTACAGTTTGGAAAAATAGACCATGTGAAATGTAACTTCTTAAAATGCCACAAAAATATACTGTCACATGTAGGCAGAAATCAATGACAACTACAAATATTAAAAAGAAAAAACATAGTAAAAATAAATTAAAAACATAGTAAAAATAAATAAAAACCAATCTAACTGTTGAGAGAGGAAAGCAATTATGACTAAAGCTAAAATAAAAAGAAACAGTATTATTAACTACTGGAGGAGAAATAGTCTAGCATTCTGAAAATTAATTTCTTTCCTGTCATTCCATAGTGAAATCAAACCCAAAAACAAATAGCAGAACTATGTTGTAATAAGAGGTTCAGGAATACATGTTAATTGGTTACATGGGACATAACCTTTTGAATCTTACTATGCTCCAAATTCACCTACAATGTTTTATACCTGTGGGGGGGAAAAAAACTTTTGTCCTTTTTTCCTCACAGCTAACAGTAAGGAATTCAGGGGAGCTGCCTGCCCACACGTGATGAAAGGCTCTGTGACTCACCGTGGTGAAAAAGTATGACAAAGTCAAAAGGAAAAGAATCAAGTAGGTTATATTGATTCAAGGTGGTCTGGTAAAACTAGTTGAATATGTGTAAGAGAAATTGCAGGTGGAGGAAATAAGGGCAAGGATAGGAAACCTGGTGGGGTTAGAAAGGGTGGATCTGCAGGCAAGTCTCATAATGTTCACAGTATTTCTCATCTGAATTATTCTGACTATCAGAATTGCCACTTTTTTATAGAGTTCCATCATTCCTTGGACCCTGCAGTCTGGCAGGGTGCAGTCCTGGCTGTCTGTGAAAACCTCTGCTCCTCCACCCCTGATCGGTGTCCGGGCTCGGAGGGTCCCAGCCCTCGCAGGAGGATCTCGCTGAGCAAGGATGGGGTGTATGTTACTGGGTGTGCACACTGGAGGGTGCTAGTATTTAGAGAAGAGGAAACTAATTGTGATGGGGTCTTCCTACAGGCAGAGATCGAAATGGAAGGTCTGAGGTTCTGTCATCTAGTTGCTGACAGAGAACAAGCTGTGACTGTGTCCCTACCCTGACTTTGCTGATCACCCAAGCCTGATAAACTTTAAGTAATTTTTTAATGCTTACTCAAAAATTTGGGGTTAGATTATGATTTTCACTGTTTATATTACATGTGCTTAATGTACCTATATGCAAACCTGTACTTATGTGATTTTCCTATTCATGTATTTGTCCTTGTTTATATGTGTATTTATTTGTTTTCCTCAGGCTATTTTGAATGTCACTCAGAGTTAAAGATGATGTATGGCACATTCCAAAGATATGTAATAAAAGACAATACAGCATATTTCTTCCATGCCATTCTGGCTTACATAAGAAAATATACAAAACAAATAGTAAACAAGGAGTCATTTGGATTTAGATTATGCATGAATAATAATATGCAGCTTCATCTCAGATATAAACAAAAAAACAGGTTTGACTGCTAGTGGGCTTAGGAAATATTTTTCTTTTTCAAAGGAAATTACTCAATGTAATAAAAACATGCTTTTTAAAATAAATGGATTAATTTACCTTTTGTTTCAAGACAGATAAATAATCATAGATACTGTACTTAGACCTAAAAGAGGTGCAATTTTTTCACATGTATTTGGTGATAGAGTTTGACCTTGGCTTTATGACACTCATTTCTCTTTTCTTTAAAAACTCTTTCTGGATTTTATGGTTGCTTCTTTACCTGCAGTCCTGCAGTTCTGCTGGTCACTGCATCTGATTCAAAGCATATCAATGGGAAAACTCTTATTGGCTTCACTGGACTCTTATATCAGGCTCTGTAGATTGATTTGATCCTTTTGCCTGTAAAGTTTATTGCAAAACTTCTACAGACTTCAGTGTCTCTTCTGGCCAGGACTTTTGTGTATCATTATGTGCCTACAGTCACAGCTCATTTTTTCTTTGACTTCTCCAAGTCAGAAAGTTTTTCCCACACAATGATGATTTTTAAAAAGATGCAATTTCAAAAAGGTTGGGGAGTTGTTTACTTTTTTATGCACCAGTAACATATAATTTCTTCCCAACTGTATGTTTTTAACCTTAATACCAGAGGATAAGAAAATAAATAGCATCATATTTATGTTTCAGATTCAGTTTAAGTGTGTGAGTATAGAAAGAGAAATTTTTCCTTTAGGTTACGTGAATAAAGCTCCATAAGTCTTTGCAGGATTGAGCTTTTAATTTGTAAGCCTGATCTGGCTGCACGAACAATTGTAATAAAGTTTAATGAACATTATTAAAAGTTTATATGCAGGCAAATAGGGTTGCACATTTGGAGTAGTCATTACTAGCCTCCAAAAGAGAAGTGGCTTGAGGTAGCTCCAATTTTCCGTTCACAGAAATAGGGGCATCAGGACAGTAAGGGGGAGAATAGGATCCCCTCATCTTCCAAACAAAACACAACAGTATTGTGGGATCTTTAATGGGAACCAGAAGTGCTTCTTTTGCAAAGTAAAATAAGAAAGAGCACTTCCATAAAATATTACTTCAAGTTTATACCTGAAGCACAGTACATGTGCTGTAATGTTCAAATTCAGTAGTTTCAGAGTGCAGATGGAGAGCTCTGGCCAGTCATCCCTGAGGAACCAGCCCTGTCACACCATGTGCAGTAAGAAGGGACACAAACAACACACAGTTCCCTGGTTTGCACTAAACCATGTCATGGAACTGTTTCCCAATCACTAATTTTGCTGCCTCAATTGAGAAAATATTACAAATACCAGTAAAAGACTTTCACTGAAGGAAACTTAATGGTACAAAAACTGCTTAGCTTCCCCCCTTCATTGCTTTGGCTTATCTTTATCATACATAAGCTGCAACAAAATCCTGCTGTAGGATTTGCTGAGCAGAAGGTAGCACAACTCGGGTGGTTATTCCTGTGAACTGGGTTCTACACCTGTAGCTTAAAACCGAATGTCTGAGAGGGTCTGACCTGGAAGAGATAATCATGTCAATAAATTGATTTTTTGAAAAATCTCATTGGTTCCAAGAGAGGTTAGTCCTGCAAATGAAGTTACTCATGTACTTAACTCTTTGCCGGATCAGGTGTTGTAAACTCTCTGGGGGAGGACCCGTGTTTTTTTTTTTATTTGTCTGTAAAGTGCCATGTATACCTATGGCACTGTATAAATAAATAATAATAATAGAAACAATAAAAACCATCTAGGGATTAACCAGGCCTTTTAAAGAGGCCAAATGTTCTTCACATAAATCTTGGATCTAATTTGAGCTCTAATAAGCTCCATTTCCTGCTTTTCCAATATTTTTAAGCCGCGTTGCAATAGCTATCTTTTTTTTTTTTTTAACAGGTGTTTTAAGAGGGCCCTAAGGCAAGTATCTAATCAACCTAATGGAATTTTCCATGCAGTTAAGTGTTTTATTCAGCTCAAAACATTGTCTTTGATTAGACTTACCACCTTCCCTTTTGCCCTTTTACATTATTTTGGCAGGCTCTGCAGGTGGAAAAGCTCCATCTCCACTGCAGCTCCATGATGTGTGAAATAGCCTCTCTGTGCGTGCCTGCTTGGATGCCTTTGAGCTAAAGGAGAAAACTTCGGAGCCAGCCCTACAGTCCCAGTCCAGCTTTGGATCTGCCTGTGCTCCGTTCTGGCCCCATGACAGCCCTTTGTACAAGGTACTCAGGTCAGCTTTTAATGAGGGAACTTGTATCCTGCGAGTGACCCCGTGGTACTGAGTGTGATCCAGGCTAACTATCCTGCAGTATCTGCCTGGAGTCTGGGATAGGCTTTGTTGAACCCTGGTTGCTGTGCTTGTGCTGAGTCTGTACTGGATTAATTAAAGCTGGCTCATGTATGCCTGTGAGAACTACAGTCCTCTTAGATGGCAGTGTAGCTTTTTCTGTAGAATGTGGCCAGCTTAGGTGCTTTAAACAAGTTCTTTTAGCCTTTCAACCTTTTTTTCCCCTTGGTTTTCTAGAATGAAAATCGGTTTAGATCATATGAGGGTGTAACTTATTACATTATGCTTAATATTTTCCCACTTCATGAGGTGTTGTGAGGATTTTTAAAGTAATATTTATACAGCATTTTGAAGATAAAAAGCATCGCATAAGTGATAATTATTATCTACATTTATTTTCATGCCTCAGTTGAAACATCTTTTTCTCTTTGTCTAAGATACTTAATTTTTCTTCTGCCTTTTTTTTTTTTAATTACTGTGTTATTTAACTTCAGATGAGATTTTGGGGTATAATTTTGGAGAAGAAAACTGCTGTACAGATTATATTGTACTGTGTCAGATAGTTCTTCTCTTTTTTGTTTTTCATCCCATGATGAACTGATGCTTTCACCAATCCAATCTGCAACCAGAGGTTTATTCATGCCAGAACAGAAGAATAGTTTGATTGTTCAGGAAATCAGCCAAGACTCAGAAGGCCTAGATTTTCTCCATTCTGATGCAGGTTTCTTGTTTGACATTGGAAAAATCACTTAATTTCTTCATGTCTCAGCTGGCCATCTGCAAAGCAGAAATGGTGCTTCCCTACTGTGTACTTGGTTTGTAATATTACTTTTCTATATGAGGCAGTGCTCATAAGGGTGATAGAAGAACCAATATACTTCAAAAGGCATTGTTAATCTCCTGTGTGCAGATCACTCATAGGATCCGGTGACCTGCAAAATGGATATGGGGCCTGTATTTCAGAAATACATACTAATTTAACTCTCAATTAACTATTAATTTGTTATTAATAATATTGTGTTTGTATTTATATTGTATTTATTATTAATATATTTATTCATTAAAGAAGACAGCTTCTGTCTTCTTTGGAAAGAATTGGTAAACAACCTTTTCAAGATAATTAATAGGCATATCTCCATGGTCCCTGTCAGTGTCTGCTTTCAAAAAAGAGTATATATACAGTGCTTAGAGCTTGGCCCCCGGAAAAACTATCATGACGTTGTTTGTGCGAATTTTGCTTTGGAAACATACTTCTGTGATTTTGTGTCAGAAGTTGTTTCATTCTGTTACGTGGAGACCATTTCTCCTTGCTATGTTATGCAAAGGCATATCTTCACCTGTCTCTGACATGTGATATTGGTTGCTATGATGGGCCATATATTGGTAATTAGATATGGAAACATGCATGTCCATCCTCATTTCTAGGAGGAGGTTGTTACATTCAACCTGTTCCCTACTATACGTAGTAGGGAGAAAATATGAAGTTATTGTATAACATATGATCAGGCAAAAGCTTCTAAACATAAACAGTCGTGATTTTTTTAGTTTCTTGATCAACATGCAATGCTGAAAATGAGGGTAACGTAGAGATAAAAAATTATCATATTTTAATTTAATTCAGTTATGCTTCTCAAATAGTTCCTCTATCCCAGTGGGAATGATCCATGGCAAGATAATGTTACTTAATAGTTTTATTTCTAAAATGCACCTTCTTTTCTCTGTGCATGCAAGTGCTTTACAGCTTCAATAAAAACCATTGTGAAACAGACACTAAAACATTATCCTAAGAATCATTTCACTTTCCTCCTTAAATGTAGCCATTAAAGTAGTAAAAGGAGGTATACTACACAAGTAAAAATGAAAAACAGAGAAGTTTGTATGTGGGGATAACAGATCATTCTAATCATGTTGAAGTTTCTATCAGTTGCAGTTTCACTGTCTTGAAATTGTACTGGGTAGACTCAGAATCAAATTTCCCCCTTTAAATAAAGTTGGTTGCTTGAGGAACCAGACATATTCTGAGTGTATTCCTTTGTCATGGTATTCCTGTCCAGTTCTGGTGATCTTCCCCTGTACATCCAATGTATAGGGAAATGTGTGCTTCAGCATAGTCAAAGGAATTTCCTTATGTAAAGGAAGGAATTCTTTGTAATTTTTTCAATTGACCTTGCTTTTCTAGTTAATATAGGAGATGTAAAGGAGTAATAGAATGTTTTTTCTTCTCATGACCCATTTGTATTCAGAATCTAAACTGCTTTCTTCTAAAACCAGGTTAGCTCTAGGTTGTTTGTTGAGCGTATTCTAGAATAACATCTCCACAGATAATATGTGGTTGTATGTTATTGCCCTAACATGAGATACTTGTCACTTTAACATTTCTTTATTAAACTTTCAGAAAAGACACCTAGGAATAAAAAAGCAGGGCAGTAAAATATCAGTATTACATAACCAAACATGTACTTAGTAAACATAGGAGTAATTGTTATCATGCTGGGTAGATCTTGGAGTTCAAGGGTTGTGTGTAACTCTGGATGGTTGGCAGGAGACAAGATGTCAGGAAGTTATTTCCTAGAGGTTAATAACCTTGTGGTTAAGTGGCTCCATTTGAGTACATTGATAAGTGTTTTGATGAGTTTGCCATCCATGAGCCCAGAGCAGGCATGTGGAACCCCTGAGAAACCCCACTTTGAGCTGAGAGCAAGCTGGAATTGTGAATCCACTGCAGAATCATTTTGGTCACAGAAGCCCCAGGAGTTGTCTGTGGTTACTGCCTGGAATGGTACCTCACTACAACACTTTCCTATTGTAAAAATCTTCACACGTAACCCTAGATTTGTTTTCTCCACTGATGGAAGTCTTCCATTATCTTCTACTCTAATTTCACCTTGGCATCTTTTTCATTACAGAAATGCACTCTGTTCAAAGAATTCAAGTCAAGTTCTCCAGAAGATTAAAGATGTTTGAAAGCAAACCCCAAATCTGCATCTAAACTTTGCAGTTCTTAAAGAGAATAAAACCAAAATGCATGGGTAACTTGTTGGCTCAGTAGTATAATTAGCAACCTTCTAACTGAGTTCAGCCGAGCAGATTTGCATCCCAAACATCAATAGCTGCAGCCACCGGCAAGGTTTGAAATAAGAAGCAGGATGTGAATCCTGCTTTATCAATTTCTGTTGAAAAGTGAATTTAACTTTTCAAAGCATTTTCTGCTTACATTTTATTTTCTCACTGTCCCAACTAAATTTAGCTTTCCTAAAACAATCTGAGAATTTAAATGAGTTTCCTGTCCATGCACATTTGTAATTTTTTGTACCACTCATTTCTTTTTTGATAGCACATTGTTTTATTCTTTCAGTCTTAAAAAAAAAAAAAAAAAGAGAGAGAGAAAAGAAAAACCTGCCACAAAAGTGAAATTTTTTTTTTATTGCATTTCATTTTAAGTCGTCTTTTTAAAGATCTGTCATTTATACAATGACAAGAAAACTTTCTAAATTGGAACTAATTTATGAATTCCTTCTTTTTGGCATAATGTCACTTTGCAAGTTAAAATGATAATGACTGGAAAGATCAAATATGTTTATCTAAAAAAAGAAGAGGGGTTTTAAGAGTTTGCGCTCATTAGAAATCTTTGCAAAGTCTGTACACAGCAGGCATTATAGATTTTTTGAGTCCAAAAATCCCTTAGGTTAAAAAAGCTGTAGCTGAGAATGATAGAGTTTGAAGAGAGCTCAGAATCCCTTTGTATAACAGCTACAGATGGATGAAATAGCTGGTTTTCGTGTATATGATTGTTAGAATGAAACTTGATTTTGTCACCAAACCAATCCTTCATACTCCATATTATGAGTGGATTCTTCCTACTCACCCTTCCATTCATGTGCAATCCTGCAGTGGCACAGACATCCACAAACCAGAGTGGCATCAGCACCGAGGGGCACAACTGAGTCTTTGCAACTGATAAAGTACAGTTCTGTGTTGATTTTTAGTAACTTCTCCTTTGTGACAGAGTGATTTAGGAATCTGCAACCAAATGGCTACAGTGGAACTTCGGTACCCGGGAAAACTTTCTGACCTCTGTCTTTTCATTATACGGATTTTGATGCGAAGGAAACAACTAAGCTGTAGCAAATGAAGTAGAATTAATACCATTATGCTCACAATATGCCCACTGCCTGGGGGCAATGCTGTCGACTGATCTAATAATACCAGAATCGCATCCTCACACCGTTGTAAAATGCATCCATATGTTTCTTATCAAGACCACTGGTGGCACAAGTCCTTGATCCAGGCAAGTAACAGTCTTTAAAGCTGTAGAGAAGAAAAGTTTCATTTGGTCTGTTGCTGTGCCTTGTATTGTTGCTTCCTCTTACACTTCTGAATTTGTTGTTCCTACCAGTAATGTTGGCATGTCACCATCTGTTCTCTCCTCCAAGATGTCAGTTTGTGTCTTTATCCTGTGCTTTAATCTCTTGTGATGTACTCTTCACCAATGATGTGTTTAAAAGTAGTGTGAAGAAGGTATTAGTCTATGATATAAAAAGGAAGAAATCTGTTTCCCCCACTCATTTTTTCAGTGAAAGTGTAAGGATTTTTTTAAGCAAGTGCTTCCAAATAATTATGAAAGAATTTTGAAAATACTACAAAAAATGTCATATGAGATTTTCTAATGCTTTGTCTAGGCACACCAGAGTCAGTGCAGATTTCAGACTGCAAGTGAATAAGGAAGCAATTTCTGCCTTATATTACCAAAAATAGATGGGCTCATAGTTTCACCTTAATCTCATTTTCACTGTAGCTTTTACACTAAAAAAAAATTCTTCTAGTACCTGATGCAAAAGCATGCAAAGATTAGAAACAAAACTAGAAATACAAATAAGATAAAAAATATTCAGACAACATTTTTTTATCTTTAAATTACTCTAAGGGTTGTTTTCT